TCGTATTTATAGATGTGACCATGTATTCTAGTCACAGTATAAGAGAAAAAGAGAAAATTCTGCAGAATATAAATAGAGGGCAAAAATGCATAAAAACAGCACACAAACACACCAGCTTAACAGTGTTAGTGTATATACGTGTATTTACCGGCAATTAGCTATAAATTATATGTGAGGGTTAATTTCGATGTTTAAACAAGTCGGGATGGTATTGCATTGGGGTGGATCTAACTTACGTTTACATCAAAGGAAGAGATTATAACATTTTTGAAATATCTACGTCATTTTGGGCGCCAATGCTACATATATGTAGAATAAGACAATTTAGAATGCAGAAGTAAGTAAGAAAAAAAAAACAGATAAATGAATGAGGAGACAGCAATAAGAAAATAAGCGCAACTGATTCTATTGTGTCCATATACTGATATTTCAGACATTAGCTTTTGGAAATAATTCTGTCCAAATAGTGATTGACGCTCAAATAAATTGTAAATATGAAAATCAGAGAAAAATCGGTCCGGGGATGCAAAGCTACATATACATCACAATTTTCTAAAATATGTATTACACGGCATTTACATTAGAACTTTTTGTCGGGTTAACCCACATCATGAGGATTTATTTGACATATATACAATGGAATTGATAATTTAGACCCAATGAATACAATGTAAACGTACTATTAGTTCACGTTTTCAAATAGAGTGCCTCTGATATTATCCCCTCATTTACAACATTTTTAAGTTTGTGTCTGTAGTTTGACATTTCAGGTTCTCAGGGTGTATAAAAAATTGAGGCTTTTTGGAATATTGGTTAGAAACTGAGGCAAGGTAATATACAGTATCTCACAAAAAACCTTCATTTTATGTATTTAAAATCCAAAAAAAAAAAAAATTAAACACATTCCGAGTGATATTTTTCAAACGAAGTTACTGTATCGAGTTCTTGAAGGGTAAAATGTTTATTTATGGATATAAATCTAGCACATTGAGAATAATAAATTTCTTATGAGGTAGTGCTAGTGGTACATTGAATATTTCAGGATTTTATAATGGATAAAGATATTATAAAGATAATAACAAAATATGCTTATTAATCATTTCATGTAAAATATTTTTGTAATTCATGCAGGTTTTTGCTTATAATCTATATATTAGGTGGAAGATAATTCCAAAGAAGTATAGTGGAAATGAAAAATTGTCTTCCGATTTCGATGTTATTAATTTTAATTGTATAATTTTATTGCCTCTATTAGACCTGGCAAATTGTATCCTTTTTATTGAGTAATATGGTTCTTTGTTAGTCATAACTTATTGAAGGAATATGAGAGCTCTATATTTAAGATAGTTTTAAAATGTCATGTTGATGATCTTATAGGCAAGCTCAGAAATTCTTCACTTAGTTTTACTAAATATATATGTATCTTGCAATATTATTAAACATAACTTTAAGCTTGCGTTGGTCCGCATTATCACAGTTGTAAAAAAACTTCGGAGCCTATAATAGTATCGGAACAAGGTATGACTTTGTAAGTAACATGCGTTTTTCCATTTGGGTAGAGGTTTGAACTGCTCAGAGGTTGCGTAGAATTCCATGTACTTTTCCAGCCGTCATATTAAGGTGATTCGACCGTGATAGTTTTTCATTAAATACCACGCCTAGGTTAGAAGCGAAGCTAACGTATTCAATATTAGAATCATTAATTTTTATGTAATCTATTTGAGGTTGCGGTTTCTTTTTACAACTGAGAATGCATTTTGACTTAAGGAGATTTATTGTTAGTCTATTGTTTTCAGCCCAGTTAGATATGTTTCTCAAGTCATTTCAATACAAGTTATATATATTATTCGTTTATTTTTTTACTTTTTTCTAGACCACACCAATTTTTTCAGTATTCTCACAACATGGCCTAGTCAACGTAGTCGCTGCATCTCGATCCATCTGACTATGCCGATGTACGAGAATAGAGAGTATAGTTCATTGTTCATTCGACAACGATATTCGCCGACGAGGCAGATCGGTCCATACAGCTCTCTCTTTTTCTCTCGAACACTCCTAGAGCTGCCTCATCTACTTGCGCAAGTACCCATGCTTGAGATCCATACAACATCACGAGTAATAGCAGCGTCTTCTAGAGTGTGTTTCGTCTGCCCAGAAATGGCCTTGTTTTTGAGTTTCTTACTTATACCATGGCATCTGTTGGCCAATACTATTTTCTCCGGATTTCAAAGCTGATGTTATTAGTTTTGTTTATGGCGGTACCGAGGTACCGCCATACCTCGAAGCTGTGTTTTCATGTTCCAAAGTTGGTTCGAGTCTGCTGGACGTCTTGCGCGTTGATACCATCAGCTTGGTCATTTCGTCATTTACTGTCAGACCCACTTTGGCAGACTCCTCAATTCGTTCAAATGTAACAGTTACCGCTCGCACTGTTCGAGCCATTATGTCGATGTCGTCGGCGTAGGCGATTAACATATACTGTTTGGTGTACAGAGTGCCATTTCTGTTCACATTCGAATGACCCTTTCCAGCAGGATGTTGAACAGGTCACACGACAAAATGTCACCATGTCTGAATCCTCGTGCGGTATTGAAGGGCTCCGAGAGGTCCTTTCAGACTTTAACTGCTGACCATGTGCCAGTTAAAGATATCCTGCATAGCCGTATTAATTTTGCAGGAATGCCAAACGCAGACATGGTTTTAAACACCTCTGAACGGATAGGGCTGTCGAATGCGGTTTTAACGACGACAAATAGGTGGTATGTGTCGATGCGTTTTTCGTGGGTCTTTTCCAGGTGTAGTGTGAAAATCTGGTCAATGTTGAATTTGCCAGGTCTGAAGGCGCATTGATATGGTCCAAAAATATTATTGACCATTGGTTTGAGGCGTTCACACATCACGCGGGATAACACTTTATATGCAATGGGAAGGAGACTTATTCCTCTATAGTTGGCACATATTGTTTTGTCTCGTTATCTGTGCCCGGGTCACAGGATACTGAGGTTCCAATCATTGGACATGCTTTCTAGCCAAATTGTACTAATCAGCTGGTGCATGCACCTTACCAGCATCTGACCACCAGTCTTGAATAGTTCGGCTTGTAACCCATCGGCACCTGCTGTCTTATTGTTTTTCAGCCATTTGGTTGCTATTCTGACCTCATCTTGTCGGTCACTATTTGATACCACAAGCTTTCCAAAAGGTCCCTTCCAGATCATCAACATGCTACCTGTGTCTCTCATCAGGTTTCCATCATCATCTCTACAGGAGGATGTGCCTGCACCAAAGCCTTCGGTTTGTGGTTTAACTCGTTGGTAATTTTTCCGAACTTCATTCTGACTACTGTACATCTCTATTTGCTCACGCTCACGTTTTTCTTGATCTTTCTCCTTTTTTTGAAAATACATTTCTCCCTCTCCTTTTCTCCCGATAATTCTCCATCGCATTACGTGTCTGCAAGATTGCCTTATACGCTGCGTTTTTCATATCAGTAGCATTACGACACTTCTGATCGTACCACGGGTTTCTTGATGGTGGTCTTTGGTAACCAAGTGTTGCTTTTGCTGCAGTTTGTAGGGAGTGTGCAAAATCTTTGCCATTGTGCTTCTATATTATTATCGGGACAAGAAGTGCTTTTGTCAGGCAAGTGCGTAAGTTGGGCGGAGTAGGCTTCTGCTATCTGTTGTGTTTGTAGCTTTTCGACGTCGAGGTTCCGTGTTACATTAGATCGCACCTTTGCTGCTATATTAAGACGGGTGCGATCCTTGGCTGCTACAAGGTAATGGTCCAAATCGTTATTCGTTCCTCGTATCGATCGAACTTTTAAAACACTGCATGAATGCCTTCCGCCTATCACAACATGATCAATTTGATTTCTCGTTGCTTGATCAGGAGAAATCCAGGTGGCATTGCGTATATCGAGATGTGGTCGTCAATGAGAGAGACTAATTTTACTCTCGTATTCTCTTGATCTTTTTTATCAAGTGTTGCAATACAGACTCTCTGCAATCCTTGACATTATAAATTTTTAATTTTCCATCAAAATCCGATATATCCGAATGCATTTTGTATATGTGTATGTGTAAATAAAAAAAACAATATATTTCCAAATTTCAAAAATTATAAAATTTTAATTGTTTTTTTTCTCATTAAAGAAAAATATAATCCAATACGGAGCAATTTCATATTCGCAAATAATGACTAATTTAAGAAATGTGTTTCACAATAAAACAATAAACATATATTGGTGTGGCTGCGGAGTGTGAGAATTCTGCAATGTGAAAATTTAATAACAACAACAAAAAGAAAATATCCCAACTTAAGCCAAAATATGTCGGTGCATAATATACCAGGTTTATGCCCAGACCATTTGAAAATATCTTCTTCCAATATAAAACCAATATCAACGTTGCTTCCCGAATAATCAATTACAACAACAACTTCAACTTCGATTTTCGAACAACTTCCGCAAAGTAATAAAACAAAATAATTTCATTTTTATGTGCGCAACAAACCGAACAAATATGACAAACCATAAACCGACAAGCCAAAAACACAACTTCCTATTGTCCTGAAACTGTGCCAAATATAAAAAAACACAGACCTACACTCACACTCAACAACCAACCTTCTAACCGCCAAATCGAAATAATCCCAAATTGTGCCATCCAAACAAAAGAAGAAAGTAAAAAAAGAGAAAAAATTGATTAGAATGTCGGTTGATGCTGATTATGTGTTGTGATAAAAAAGACCCTAAACATGTGGAGTAGTTCAAATCCTAAAAAAAGAAAATAAAAAAAAAAATAAAATTGTAGAGAACAAAAAAAAAAAAAAAATTGAAACCGCTTTATGAAGTAGTCATAGTTGCCAATAAAAAATTTATGAAAAAACTCACGAAGTTATGCAACTTTCAAATAGCCATAACTTTCCACAAACCGCCAAATTGTGTTTGAAACAGATCACAGCGACAACACAATACAGTTACGGAGGAGACTCACTGAGCGCCGTCGGAAATATTGAAGAGTCGATTTTGATCCCATACCGAGAGCATATTGAAAATCTTCTTCTCAATGAAGAATGAAGAAACAAAATGTTCGCACGATATCTTTGATCGTGTGTACATTTACCTATTTACTAGTTGGTGCGGCAGTGTTTGATGCCCTCGAATCGGAAACGGAAACTCTACGTTGTGAAGCACTACAAGGTAAGTTTCGTAAGATGCTATTCGGAATACTGTAAAATTGCGATAATTTATGTGACTCTTCTTCTTCTTCTGGCATATGTTTTCATATGTCAATTCCACCGTGTTTGGGGTGGGTTTGTTTTTGGAAAAGATCGGTTAATATTTAGATCAAATGGACCAAAGACTTTATTTTTGTCGGTATTTCTGATCGCTCCAGAGGCCGCAATTATGGCCCAAACACCGCAAATTTGCATGAAGAAGGGGATCGGGCCAAAGAATAAGCATGCCTGTTTTGATAAAGATCGGTCAATATTTAGCGGGTCAAATGGGCCCTAACTTTTGTGTGAAAAATTACAAAATTTGTATTCTATAGCGTATATATTTACCACTGAAGGACATAAACCCGAGAAGTTTATAGTATATCCAAGAGAAGTGGTTGACCTTTAAATTTATACCAATTATATTGTTGTAGGTACTCGTATGCGGGAGTTACACTTAAATATTTACAGGTGCTTACGTATTCAGATATTATCTAGTAACCCATTACCACATTAGAGGGCGGAAATATAGCGCTGATCGCTTTGGAATTTTTCATGAAGTTCCAATTATGGCCAAGGAAAACGCCTATAATTTTCGGTGATGATCAGAATAAAATTTTGGATGAAGTGAACAGAAAACTTAATTTCTTTGTGTGTTTTCTAGTCGAATATAAGCCGAACATCACAACTCAACCCACCGTGAAGGGAATCTGGACAAGTAATTAGAAGGGCTGTACTGCATATTAGTAATATTCGGAAAATATTTCAGTGTAAGGTAGAGATGCTGTTGTCCTTTAGTCGCGCAATTTGGGGAAAATATCACGAAATATTGCCCAGGCTCGGAATAAACATCCGCAGAAAGTTAGAGTTCCGTGGTAGTTGTGTAGGGTATCGTATGGTCGGCCCCGTCCGACTATACTGCTCCGCTCACAGGTTTTAATATAATTACTGGCCATGAATTTGAATCACTCCGGCAATGGCTAACATTTGCCTCTATTTCCAACGACTGTGTATGTGTGGAAATCATTGCTTCCAGAGCAGTTCGCAGTGCACGAAATTGAATTCTTTGTGCGATGAGCATGTTGTTTAAAGGACAAAGAAGATGTGCCATATATTCACTTTTTGGCCTTACCACTCCGATATATAGGCGAATGAATTGTTGCGGGTTGCCTCCCCAAGATACACCACAAAGTGACCTGATAATGTTCATGAAGTGGAAAGTAGTTTTATGTAAATGATCGATGTGTGTCCAAGGCTAAGTTTAGAGTCCACAATGAACCCCAGGATGTGTAAATCAGGCTGTAAATGTACGGATGAACGATTAGAAGGGTCCAATTGCAGTTATTCTAGTCTGTTGAATAATTTGTGTGACGAAAACCACCTGAACGAAATAATGAGAGCTGATCAAGTCAGTTATCGATATTTTTGGCTATTGCAAGATCTATTAATAAGGTCATCCAGCAGGTGAAAGTTACATGCTTTTATTTTTCCTAAAGTCTAATGTCAAAAATTTGAACGTTGTTTACGATTTTATTACGAATTTTGACAGCAAACTTGAGAAGTATCTAATTAGAATAGACCATGATGCAATAATAAGGTAATGTATCAAAACAAAAACCTTTGTTTGTGTCTCGACCATCTGTCAAAATTTTCCTTATAATATTTCACATGGTTGGCAACATTGCATATTGAATTCAAATGAACTACGTATTTATTGTGCCATGGAAGAGGTCATTTCCATGATCCAATAAACAGGTCGTGTCAGAAGCAATCGTTATCGACAAATTTGGAGTAAAATCCCCCATACTGTCAAATATTTTGTTTACGTATTCACACAATTTAGTCAAACTCGAAAGCTTTTGAAATCATCTGGCCTTATCGATCGACCTTATTATTAGATCATGCCCTATTCTTTAAAACATGATGTAATAAAAAGGTAATGTATCAAAACAAAAACATCTGTTTTTATTCGACCATGTGTGAAATTTATCTAGTAATATTTGTCATCGTTGGCAACATTGCACTTCGAATGAAAGTAGAGACTATGCACTTTGACAGTTTATCGGATAGTCAGCTGCGCAATTAATGTATGTTTTTATTAATCGTGGACAACACTAACAATTTTATTAAAAAATATATGAAAAAGGGAAAAAAAATAAATTTTTTCATTAAAAGAAAGTACAATTCATTTCGCATCCCTGGGTCTCGCTCAATAAGTGAAAGTCAGTTTTTTTATTTTGTCTAGACTAATGTCAAAAATTGTTCACTTTGTTCACGTTTTCTTAAGGAAAATCAATTCACAATAATGTATTGGGACAGTAAGTTTGACAATCAGCTGATCTCCCTGGATGGCCTTAGTAAAAGACCTTGGTTTGAAAAAAATTTTCAACGGCTCATTATAAAGACACAATTTTACATGATGTGACTCCATCATGTAAAATTGTGTCTTTATAATGAGCCGTTGAAAAACTTTTTCAAACCAAGGCCTGCGGGCTTCAAAAAATAGTTTAACAAAATGACACTCTGTTAAGACTTCGGACGGCTCACAATGAAGGCATAATTGTAAGCGTGAATCATACCGGCAAGCTTTTAAAATATATATTTCAACAAGGGCAAGAATGGAACTGTGTTTTTAAGATCCACTGGGGAAGAGCAATCTCTACCAAACCTTCCGGGACAGGCTGGGACTCAAATTCCGAATTTGATTACGCGTGTAAGATCAATATAACCGTTATAGAATATTAGAATACTGGAGGAGCGAAGGGACTCATAAGATGGAGTCCCTATCTGGGACTCCTTTGAAGACTGTCAGGACAGTAAGTTCAACATAACCGTCTTAGAATCCCGCTGGAGAAGAAGAAGCAGGTATCAGACCTTCGCGTCGGCTGATATAAAGAGAAAACTGAGCCAACCCAAAGTTAAAGGAGACTGCCACTTGAGTATGTTCAACGCAACCGTCTTAGAATGCCAGAGGACCGAAGAGACTGATATGATGGTGGAAGAAAGTAGCAGTTATTTGGGATATAAAGTAAAGGACGAAGTGGATTTAGTCGCCGGAAAGACAGGCGAATGCTAAACCTGTAAGAAGAAAACAAGCTTCCAGTCAGCTAATACAAAGAAAAAGCCAACACAATGTTAAAAAAAACTGCCGCGAGAACCCATAGACGAAGCTGACTCTAATATCCATCGAAAACTTCTGTAAAGAACGGAAATCCCCAAAGGACTCAGTGGACTTTACGAAAGAGGAAGAATAACCGCAATTGGTAAGGTGCCGCCATCTTATGCGAATAAGGCCACATAAAGACGAGCTCTGTCATGCAGTGATTTACATGAAAACGGAGACTCACAAGGAATTAGTGGATGCTGGCAATAATAAAATCATGGATTGTCTGCTGCAAGCTAGAATTTGAGTGCCTAAAGATCATAGACGCTCTGAGAAAACTAGTGACAAGCATTGTGTCCATAAGAATAAGAAAATAGAGAGAGATTCCTCAACTATAAACTGCAGCTATCTTTGTCTGAGGTTAGGGCTTTGAATATTAAAATAAAATATGAAGCCACCGTCACGGATGTATGTCTTACAGCCATGAACAGGCTGAATCCGAATCCGCAATTAGCAATTATAAGTCAGACCAAATACCTCAAAGAAGAGTAGTCATAGAAAAGGAGCTTCCAGTAAGCTGATACAATGAAAAGTTAAAGGAGGATGACATGAGAACTCATCCATGAAACTGGCTCTAATATCCATCGAAAACTTCCGTAAAGAACAAAAATCTCAAAAGGACTCACCGGACATTACGAATGAAGAAGAGTAACAACAATTAGTACGAAAGATGAGTTCTGCCATGCAGTGATCTACAAGAAAAAGGAATTGATGGATGCTGGCAATAATAAGATCATGAGTACCTGCTGCAAGGAGGGGACCCCATCGATCTGGACCATTGCGAATTAAAGGTGTATTCTTTAATGCTAGAATTTGAGTGCCCCAAGACCATAAAATCTCTGAGAAAACTAGTGACAAGCATTGGGTGATGGAATTCTTCTTTCTTTATATTTGGCTGGAAAATCACAAGTGACTATCGTTACAGCACTCCAGCATTTAAATGTGAATAAATCTTTTGTGTTTCGTACTATCGCTCGTTATCGTGATACTGGTAACCCGACGTCAAGGAAGTGGACGGAAGAAAATAGCAACATCACAGAAATGGTGCGAAAAGTAAAGAAGCGACTTGATCGATACCCGCGTTGCATTGGCCGAAAATGGCTCGTGAGCTGAACATATCGCAATATTCCATTCGGCAAATATTGAACAATGAGCTCGGGATAAAGCCATTGAAATTCCAATAAGTGCAAGAACTTACACCGCAGCAGAAAGAAAATAGACTCAAAAGAGCTAAAGAGTTGCTTCGAAAGTTGTAAACTGCCGAATTTGGTTTTCTCCGATGAGAAAACACTCGTTGTCCAGCAGTTTGTAAACAAACAAAATGATCGTGTTTACTAGCAAAAGAGGTCAGCTGAAAATGCGCACCTTCGGCCACCTGAACTCATGCGCCGGCCATGATGATGGTGTGGGCGGCCATAACAGACGATGGTCACTCTCCGCTCGTATTAATCGACCGTGGCATCAGCATAAATGACGAATATTTTCGCGAAAATATTCTGGAGGGTGTATTAAAGCATTGGGCTCGCAAACATTTTGGCTGCAGACCTTGGACATTCCAACAGGACTCAGCACCATGGCACTCAGCACGCGCCACCCAAGAATGGTTACAAAATGAGGTTCCTCACTTCATTTTCAGCGCATAATGGTCACCAAAATCTTCGGATACCAATCCGTTGGACTATTGTATCTGGAGTATTTTGGAAAGCAAGGTTGGCACTAAAAATTAGAACAAATCTTAACTTAAACTAACATTTGAGGCTATTTCCGACATTTTTTTCTTTTTTGCACACAAAGATTTTGGTGGGCTCATAGCTATTATGTTCTAAGATTAGGCTAAGTTAGATTAGTTTAATTAGTTCTTAAGGAAAATATTTCAAAATAAAATCAGAATTGAAGCTGCAATCGGAAGGAAATGTTGTGTTTCATTATCTCAAAAAACCCGACCTCGGATATTCTATATAATGTCCCATATCCGTCCTCTAGCAACTACTGAAAACGTTTCGGGATCATGTGCAGCGATCCAATTCTGGTGTAAATAAATTATACACCTAAGTTCCCTAAGTCTGTTCTATTGACATGAAATTGAGCATAGATTGACAAATTATATTGATTGATTAAGGTCGGGTCACATATATAGAAAGGTTTCATTAATGAGCATATTTGCTAAGCTTGGTTTAAATCGAAATTCAATACAAACAAATCTTAGGATCCCCTTGGGTTATATACCCAAAATGTTCGGCCGCCTTCGACTTTGATTTGTTCCTCATTTGTTATTTATTTATTATTTTTTTAATACCAATAAATATTTATTTATTCAACGATAAAAATTTAAATATATATATTTTTTTCCATTTTAGCTGTCGAAAATATGATTATCGAAAAATACAATATATCGGAGGAGGATTTTAAGGTAATGGAAACGGTTGTATTAAAATCTGAACCACACAAAGCCGGAAAACAGTGGAAGTTTACAGGTGCATTCTACTATGCGACCACAGTATTGACCACAATTGGTTACGGTCATTCGACCCCAAGCACAATTGGTGGCAAATTATTTACCATGTGTTATGCAATTGTAGGCATACCACTGGGTCTGGTTATGTTTCAAAGTATTGGAGAAAGAGTTAATAGACTGAGCAGGTAAGTTCAAAACCGAAATACACCTATTTAAAACATAGTTATGCTCTACACCACAATGTTTTTTGATCGTGTTTATGTAATTGTGCATATATTTGTATTATGAGAAAAGGAAACGAGATGACGCCATAGTTACTTTTGAGGTTAAAATCATAGTAGCACATTCTGAGTCCATGTAGGCATCCCGTCCATATTTCCATTTGTTTTTGTGAGGAAAATATAAATCGCTTGTATTATTCAATTTCTATGAAACTTAGCACAGGTCATTCTAAATTGGGTTTAATAGGCTTAAATGTTGGTATATGTAGTTCCAAGGTTTGTCCGATTGAGACGAACTCTTACATACATAAGATATTTTGTTCTGCGTACTGAATTGATGTAAATGGCGCCCAAATGAAATTTCACGAATTGTCTGCAAAGTTTTATGAGAAATCAGAGCAAATTTTTATATAGCTCCCCTAAATAATTCTGTCCGATTTTGTGTAAATAGTGCACCATAGAACCTACCTATATTCCTTTGTCATGAAAGTTTGCCCGGCTTGAGTCTAGAATGATGTTTGTTAACTTTTCTTGAGATCGGTTCAGATTGGGATATATTTTAGTTCAATTTGATGTAAATGGCGCCCAAATGAAATTTTGCAAAGCAAGATAAGATATTTTGCTCTCCGTACCGAATTGAGGCTAGTTTTATAAAAATCGGTGCAGACTTTTTTATATAGCTGCCCTGCATAATGTCGTCCCACTGTCAGTAAATGGTGCACCAAAGACCCTATCTTTGTTCGTTTGAAACGAACGTTTGCCCTGCGTACCGGCTTGAGTCTAGAAAGATGTCTGTTAAGTTTTATTGACATTGGTTGAAATTTTGATATATTTTGGTCCGATTTGATGTAATTGGCGCCCAAATGAAATATCGCAAAGCAAAATCAGATATTATGCACTGTGTATCAAATTGAGTCTAGAACGGTGTCTGCTAAATTTTATTGAAATCGTTTTAAATTTAGGTATAACACCTATATATAATTTCACCCGATTTTATATGAATGTTTCACCAAAGATCCTTTTTTGTTCGTTTGACACGAAATTTTGCCCTGCGCACCGAATTGAGTCTAGATAGATGTCTGTTAAGTTTTATTTAAATCGGTACTGATTTTGTTATATTTTTGTCCGATTTAATGTAAATGGCGCCCAAATGAATTATCACAAAGCAAGATAAAATATTTTTCTCTGCTTACCTAATTAAGTCTAGAAGAATGTCTATTAAGTTTTATTGAAATAGGTTCAGATTTTGATATATATTGGTCCGATTTGATGTAGATGGCGCCCGAATATATAATTTCGTCCGATTTTGCGTAAATGGGGCACCAACACCCCTTTGTTTCCTCAATTAACACAAAATATTGCCCTGCGTACCAAATTGAGCATAGAATGATATATGTTAAGGTTTATTGAAATCGGTTCAGATGTTGGTTTGACTTGATGTGAATGGCGCCCAAACTAAATTCCACATAGAAATATGAGATATTTTGCCCTGCATACCGAATTGAGTTTAAAATGATGTATATATGTTATGTTTTATTGAAATTAGTTTTTGATATATTTTTGTCCGATTTGATGCAAATGGCGCCCAAATGAAATTTCACAAAACACAAAGCAAAATAAGATATTTTGCTATGCGTACTGAATTGATTCTAAACGGATGTATATTAAGTTTTATTGAAATAGGTGCAGTTGTATTTAATTGGCCATGCGTACCGAAATCGCTTTAGATTTAGCTATAGGTCCAATATACATATATTTGTGACCGATTTAATTTAAATAGCGCCCGAATAAAATTTCGCATAGCATACTGAATTGTGTGTTTATTTTCATTTAAATCGGGTCACAATAAAAATGTATTTCAATATACAGGGTGCGATGAAAAAAACTGCAACCAACTTCAGACTGCTGTCATTTCGAGTTACTCGTCCGACAGCTGTTAAAATTATTGCAGTGACAGCTCCAGTATATTGTTTACAAGCGTACAAAAGAATTTTGGTGAGAATTTTCCAGAAAAAAAGTTATTTGTGATGGAATTCATATATATTTGGCTCGCTCGTTACCGTCATACTGGTAGCATAGCCCAACGTCAAGGAAGTGGACGGAAGAAAACAGCAACATCAGCAGGAATGGTTCAAAAACAAGGGAAGCGACTTGATCGAAATCCGCGCTGCAGTGGCCGAAAAATGGCTCGTGAGCTTAACATATCGTAATATTCCATTCGGCAAATATTGAAAAATGAGCTCGAGGTAAGGCCATTGAAATTCCAAAAACGTGCAAGAACTTACACCGTAACAGAAAGAAAATAGACTCAAAAGAGCTAAAGAGTTGCTTCGCTTGGCCGTAAATGGTGAACTGCCGAATTTGGTTTTCTTCGATGAGAAATCATTCGTTGTCCAGCAGTTTGTAAATAAAGAAATTGATCGTGTTTACAAGCCAAAAAGCTCTGCTGAAAATGTGCACCTTCGATTGGCCAACAGAACTCAAGCGCCGCCCATGGTGATGGTGTGCGCCGCCATAACAGCCGATGGTCGCTCTCCGCTCGTATTAATCGATCGTAGCACCAGAATAAATGTCGAATATTATAGCGAAAATATTCTGGAGGATCTATTAAAGCCTTGGGCACGCAAACATTTTGGCCGCATACCTTGGACTGTCCAACAGGGCTCAGCACCATCGCACTCAGGACGCGCCACCCAAGAATGTTTACAAAATGAGGTTCCTCGTTTCATTTCCAGCGCAGAATGGCCACCAAAATCTCCGGATACTAATCCGTTGGACTATGGTGTCAGGAGCATTTTGGAAAGCAAGGTTGACACTAAAAAATACCAAAGTGTCGATCACCTCAAGCAAGCGCTTCGCCGGGTATGGGCCAAAATACCGCAGAGCAACATTCGGGCAGCGTGTGACGGTTTCATTGGCCGTTTGAAGGACATAATTCGAGAAAACATTCGTTGTCCAGCAGTTTGTAAATAAAGAAATTGATCGTGTTTACTAGCCAAAAAGGTCAGCTGAAAATGTGCACCTTCAGGATGGCCAACAGAACTCAAGCGCCGCCCATGGTGATGGTGTGCGCCGCCATAACAGCCGATGGTCGCTCTCCGCTCGTATTAATCGATCGTAGCACCAGAATAAATGTCGAATATTATAGCGAAAATATTCTGGAGGATCTATTAAAGCCTTGGGCGCGCAAACATTTTGGCCGCAGACCTTGGACAGTCCAACAGGACTGAGCACCATCACACTCAGATCGCGCCACCCAAAAATTGTTACAAAATGAAGTTCCTCGCTTCATTTCCAGCGCACAATGGCAACAAAATCTCCGGAAACCAATCCGTTGGATTATGGTGTCCGGAGTATTTTAGAAAGCAAGGTTGACACTAAAAAATACCAAAGTGTCGATCACCTCAAGCAAGCGCTTCGCCGGGTATGTGCAAAAATACCGCAGAGCAACATTGGGGCAGCGTGTGACGGTTTCATTGGCCGTTTGAAGGACATAATTTGTGCCAAAGGTGACCCGTTCGAACAAATCTAAACTTATTCTAAATTTTGATGCTCCTTCCGACATTTTTTGCTTTCATTCAAAAAAATTTTAAAAAAAAGTAAAGGGGAAACACATACGAGGATTCAGGCATTCCCTGTTACGTTGGCTTCATATGAATTGTGAATTTATAAAGGAATATCAGAGTCAAACTTGGAATTGGACGTCGTTCTCTTTTATTCTTTTACAATAAAAGAAGCCAACTTAACATGCCAAGCCTGAAAGTCCACTTACGTGTTTCACCCTTAAAAATTATGACATTTGACTTTGTTGCAGTTTTTTTATCTCACTCTTGGTCTGTTCCCGTACTGCAATAATCTACTATTTTTTACTCCGATAACACTTTTTTCCTTTATGATATCGAGGAAAATAGTAAAATCGAGTAAATTCTTGCAGTACGGGAACAGACCATCTGTATAATATCCGAATGTCATGAAAATTTGTATATAATTCCGAAAAACTATAGCAGGAGGTACATATATCAAGTCATATTTAAATCGACATATATAGCACACATATATAATTTATAATGTGAAACAATCCGATCCTTAGAGCGCATTTTTTATATTCCAAACGTGGTGTAGAGTATAATGTAGTCGGATAGGTCCGACATATTTCCTTCCCTCAATGTTTTCAGAAATCTGTGTGTATTTATAAATTCTTAATATTTTTTTTATTTTTTTTCCAGTTTTGTTATACAAGCTGTGAGAAAATCATTGCATTGCAAACGAACTGCCGCCTCTGAAGTAGATTTAATATGCGTTGTTACAACGCTTAGCTCCCTAACGATAGCGGGTGGCGCAGCTGCATTTTCCAAATTTGAAGGTTGGAGCTATTTTGATTCAGTATATTACTGTTTTATTACTTTAACTACAATAGGTGAGAGCCGAAGAAAACACCAGCGTGTCTACACAACAACAAAAACACATTGTAATTGTAATTGAAATTTGCCTCTTCCTCTTTCTTTAGGTTTTGGAGATATGGTAGCTTTACAAAAAGATAATGCTCTTAACACTAAACCCGAATATGTTATGTTTGCTTTAATATTCATATTGTTTGGTTTGGCCATTGTGGCTGCTTCTTTAAATCTTTTAGTCCTTAGATTTGTTACCATGAATACGGAGGACGAGCGACGAGACGAGGCCCAAGCTATGCAGGTAATACAGGCTGAAGATATATTTATATATACATTTGTATTACTATTGTTGTTGTTGTTGCTAAATACATATTTTTGTAGTCGTCATTGGTTTGTAATTTGAAGAATGAATGCAGAATGTTTTACCAGTGATTGTCCTGCATGTTTGTATGTGTGCGATTTGGCGCGTGTGTGAGTGATAGTGTGTAATGTATATAGAATATAGAATATATATTTTTATTTTGGAATATTATTTATAGTTTTGACAACCGAATTGTTATACAAAACACCATTTTGGTACACAATGATGCCTAAGGAGAATTTTGCCACAGTTGAAAAATAATTAGTATACCATCAACCCTATGCCTAAAGAGAGTATTTACGACAATAATTGCCATAATGTGCCGTATAGAAATTGATTTTAGAACTCATGTTTCTTTGGATCAAATCCGTTTCAAATTTTGCACTAATGCAAACCTAATACAAAACCATACCTATGATACCCTACACAACTTCCGTGAAAATCTAACTTTCTGTGGTTCTATAT